GACGTTGTATGATTCTAATCAGAAGTTGATTATAAAGTTTGAGCAGGGAAGCAACAGAACATTCAAGGTGAATGTAGAAACTTCTGAAGCGGAGTGTCTTAGTGCAGAAGGCGCTGAAGCTGACAGTAAGCTGTGGCACAAGAGGTTGGGGCACTTGAACTATAGAAGCTTAGGGCATCTAAGTTCTAAGAAACTCGTACATGGTATTTAGAAGATTGTGAAGCCTCAGAAGTCATGTGAGATATGCATGAAAGGCAAGCAACCCAGATTGCCATTTGCATCAGAAGTAGCCCCCAGAGCAAAGCATGCTCTGGGTGTAGTACATTCTGATGTGTGTGGACCATTTCCAGTACTTTCACTTGGAGGAAACAAATATTTCGTGTCTTTTGTGGATGAGTTCATAAGAATGACATGGGTAACACTCATCAAGTTCAAGCATGAAGTGTTTACTGAGTTCCAGAAGTTCAAGGTGAAGGCTGAGAAGCAGAGTGGTCAGAAGCTGAAGATTCTGAGAACAGATGGTGGAGGTGAGTATAACTCTACAAAGTTCCAGAAGTTCTGTGAGGAGAATGGAATAGAACACGAGGTTACTACTCCATATACTCCTCAGCACAACGGTCTTGCTGAAAGAAGAAACAGAAATTTGCTTGATATGACCAGAAGTATGCTGAAAGAGAAGAAGTTACCTCACATGTTATGAGAAGAAGTTGTTGCCACATCAGCATATGTTCTAAATAGGTGTCCAACAAAGAAGCTGAAGGAAACTGTTCCTTTAGAAAAATGGACTGGAGACAAGCAAAGTGTTAGCCATCTGAAGGTGTTTGGTTCTGTATGCTACAAACACGTTCCAGAGGCTAGAAGACGAAAACTGGATGATAGAAGCAAAACAATGTTACTGGTGGGGTACCACAGTACAGGTGCCTACAAGCTTTATTGTCCAGAAACTAACAAAGTTGAAATCAGCAGAGACGTCATTGTGAAAGAGTCAGAAACATGGGATTGGAACAAGCTTCAATCAGATTCTGGTGTAGTGACAACACCAGGGTTAGTTTCTGAAAGTTCTGAAGACGAGTCAGAGGCAGAAGATGAAGATTCTGAAGATGAGTCAGAATCTCAGGGAGATTCTTATAGTGGATCTGATTCTGATCCAGATTCTGATGATGATCCAGAATTTAGCGGTGATTATACTTCTGGAAGGGAAAACTCTGAAGACATGGGGTCTGGAGAACAAGTTTCCAGAAGTAACTCTGAAGGCAGTAACTCTGAAGGAAATAATTCTGGAGAAGCTTCAGAACAAGATCAGAGGCCATAGAGAATCAGACGAATACCAAGTAGGTTTGCAGATTTTAGCATGTTACATGATACTGAAGTAGATTCTGAAGGAGAAATCGTTCAGTGTGCCATGCTAGTAGATTCTGAACTAGTGGGTATTGGAGAAGCGCTCAAGAAGAAAGTATGGCTGAATGCCATGAAAGAAGAACTTGAGGCTATTGAAAGAAACAAGACTTGGAAGCTGTCAAAACTTCCAAAAGGCAAGAAAGCCATCAGTGTCAGATGGGTTTTCAAGCAGAAGCTAAAGCCAGATGGATCAATTGGAAAACACAAAGCGAGACTAGTGGCCAGAGGTTTTCTTCAAAAACCTGGACTAGATTACTTTGAGGTATTTGCGCCTGTAGCTAGACACGAAACAATTAGACTGGTGATTGCTTTAGCTGCAAACAAAAATTGGCCTTTGATACATCTGGATGTGAAGTCTGCATTTCTGAACGGTCCATTACAGGAAGAAGTTTATGTGTCACAACCTCCTGGATTTGTGAAAAAGAATCAGGAAGGGATGGTATACAGGTTGAATAAAGCTCTGTATGGACTGAAGCAAGCGCCCAGAGCTTGGAATCTGAAGATTGATTCGTTTTTCAAGGAACAAGGGTTTCAGAAGTGTGAGATGGAGTATGGTGTTTATGTTCAGCACACTTCAGAAGGTAATATGAGTATGGTCTGTTTGTATGTTGATGACATATTACTCACAGGAAGTTCTGAACAAGAAACAACTGAGTTCAAGAAAGTTCTGATGAATGAGTTTGAGATGACAGATCTTGGAAAAATGAGTTTCTTTCTAGGGATGGAACTTATATACTCTGAGAAAGGAATCATTTTACATCAGAAGAAGTATGAACTAGAGCTTCTAAAGAGATTTGAGCTAGCAAATTGCAAAGTTGCTATCACACCTGCTGATATGAATCAGAAGTTTGACTCTGATTCTGATGGAGAGGATGTGGACGCTACAACCTTCAAACAGATGGTTGGTTCTCTGAGGTATTTGTGTAATACCAGACCTGATATTTGTTATGCAGTTGGAATGGTCAGCAGATACATGAGCAAACCAAAGTGGTCTCATTACCAAGCTGCTGTCAGGATTCTGAGGTATATAAAAGGAACTCTGAAATATGGAGTGTTGTTTCCTTCTGGAGGAAAGATCAAATCAGAACTTCTGAGTTATTCTGATTCTGATTGGTGTGGAGACAGAGTTGACAGAAGAAGCACTTCTGGGTACTTATTCAAGTTTCTGGGAGGTCCAATCTCTTGGTGTTCCAAGAAACAGCCTGTTGTGGCTTTGTCAACATGTGAAACGGAATACATTGCAGGTGCTGTAGCTGCTTGTCAAGCAGTTTGACTTCTGAATCTGCTGCATGATCTGAAGGTTGAAGTTGAGGAACCTCTGAAGCTGATGATTGATAATAAGTCTGTAATTAATCTTGCAAAGAATCCAGTGCTACATGGCAGAAGCAAGCACATTGAGACGAAGTATCACTTTCTCTGAAGTCAAGTGCAGAAAGGAGTGTTAGAAGTTCTGCACTGTAGCACTCAGAAGCAGCTGGTAGATGTTCTGACAAAGGCAATAAAAATAGACCAATTTCTGCGCTTGAGAGATGAAATTGGTGTTGTTAACTTTTGATAAATTACTAAATTACGGGATGGTATTAGAGGGTAATTTAGTATTTTGTTATTTGTAGATAAGTATTGATTAGGGCCTATGTGGCATTCTTATTTGTGTATAAATAGGTGTACTAGGTTTACATTTATATCAATCAATTCCTTCAATCATTTTCTGTCAGCTTTTAAGCATTTATTCTTTTCTATCTTCTTCCTCAATTTCATCACCTTGCACTAACAAAATAAGAGTATAAACAGAAACTGAAAATATCAAATTATAATTAAGATTGTCTCAAAGCACAAAGAGTGTATGAGACAATAACCAAACACAAATATAATCAGCGACCGAGTTAAGAATTTTAGGTAGTTTAAATAAAAATTTTAATTTCAATTATATATAATATAATATATAAATTATTATAAAATATATTAATTTTATCTTTATTTTTATTAATTTTATCTTTATTTTTACTAATTTTGTCTCTAATATAAAACCATCACTGAATACAATAAAAGAACAACTTAAACAACAAATAGAAAAAACAAATCAATTAACAAAAAACTATTAGACCTCAAACCCAAAACCCAAGGATCTAAGATATTAAGGAATCACCTCACTAATAAGAGGGTAGATCTCAAGTCATTAGATTCATCATTAACATATTAGAATTTATTAAAAGAGCCTCAACAAAATTCGAAATTCATAACCTAACTCAAAAATAAAATGAACACCCTATCTGCTATAAGTAAAGGTAGATGATACGGTCTAAAGCTACTTAGTGAATGTGCAAGAGTTCATCTCTGATTTATCTAAAAATTATTTCCAAGTCAAAAAATATTTTTCTCCTCTATCTTTTTTATCGATTTTTGTGACTTGATTAAAAATGACATTGATGCTAGCTTTTCAAATGGACCAGACTACAAAACATAAGATAACCACATATATACTTAGTCTTACACCTTTTAAAGAAAGAAAAAAATCAAACAACGTCCATGTGTCATTAGGAATAACTATCCGACACCACAATCACTTAGCTCACAAGAAGTAAAAAGATGGGAGTCTGTCTCAATCAGATACCCACACAAGAGACAACATATCATACTAGAGTTAGAAATCACTTCTATCTTAGACAAGTTATCTTGGTTCAGACGTCTATCTTACAACAATTGTCAAGACAAAATCAAGACCTTCGAAGTCTAACTGTCCCACATAAAAAGGTGACAACTAATCTCTTTTGAAAAAGTAGTTGAATTGAAGAGGGGATCAAACAGACATTGCGAACTACAAAAGCAGAGACCATTGAAAAATTACGCTTTCTAGCAAACTTTCAAATACACTCATTCATATATAGTGAAAGAGTGATGTCTCGGAGTATGGACATAAACTCCTCAAAATTGGTAATCTCTCTAAGAAAGAAAGATCTCTTCCACCTAAGATTTCAATTTAGAACTCCATTATCCATTAAATCTATATCTCCTACCATCCATCAGATTGAAGTGAGTTAGAAAACAAGAGAGGGAACTTAATCTTTAAGGGGATAATCCCTAACCAATGATCATTTCAAAAGAAAGTTTGGAGACGTGTTTCAATTTTTCTAATAATACCATCAACAAATTAATCAGAACCATCATCTTTGAATCCAAAAAAGAACACCTCTTTTCTACTAGAAAAATTTATGAATTATTTTTTGATATTAAAAGAGTCATCAAATTTGATAATGAAATTAACATATGGATTTTTCTTTCAAAGTATTTGATTATTATTTTTCTTTTTTTATGTAGGTGGCCTTGGGACAACTTTCCCAAAGTAATAACATATATAAAGAATATAAACAGCATTAAGTGACAATGAAGTTACATGTCAATAGATCCAATTAATGTATGAATTAAAATGAAATATAATTTCTAGAACTTTATTCTTAATACTCTCCACTACCTATATTCTCCCATCCTTTTTCTTTTCTTTCCTTAAAGCACCTCCTTGATGAGTATATAACAAGAACATATACCAAGTAACCAAACCCTTCATTTCAACACAAACATTTTGAGTTAAGAGTTTTGTTGCAAAGATGAATGAGATCAAATATGGCTATCCATATCCTGCTCAAGGTACATCAAATTATATAAATTTCTAAACTTTTCTCAGTTTTGAAACGTTTCTAGTTACAATTTGTCAAGTAATGGTTGTTGTTGTTGTTGTTGTTGTTATGTCTCATACAGGCCCTTATCAGGGACCGCCTCCGGTAGCGGCACCACCGCAATATTATGCGGCTCCACCGCCACCACCGCCAAAAAGACAACCCGGTTTTCTTGAAGGATGGTAATTGCAACTATTCAATATTTATTGTTAAGCACAAATTTAAACTAATTTTCCTATTTATTTATTCAAGCACGTATTCATTTATTGTTAACATACTTTATTTGTTTTGTAATTATATACAGCTTTGCAGCTTTGTGTTGCTGTTGTCTCTTGGACGAGTGCTGCTGTGACCCAACTATTATATTTGGAGGTTAATATCCAGTTCACCAAACTGGGAAAGTTATATAACTTATTTAAATTTTTTTTTTTTTTAAATTACATCATTTGGTGGATTTATTCTATAGATTGTATAAGAAAGTAACCAGTATTTGGTATTATATGGTGTTGTACATTTATTATCTGAAATGGAACTCCCCTCGATTGATTGTCTATTCACCTTTTTCTTTTCAAAATATAGCCAAATCCAGATAATGGTAGAAAACTAATTGAAAAGCGGTGTAAATTGGATAGCTTTGTATTAAGTTTAGAAAAGAAGAGAAGAATAATGTAAATTCTATGAACACTTTTAATTGCATATTAGATATATTAAGTGGCTTTATTATTCCAGCTGTATTATTGTTATTGGAGTTTCTGTTAGAAATCTGTTAGACAGTTAGCATTGGTGGAGTTAGTTTATAGTTTGTTATACTTGGTCCATTTGTAAAGTGATATATAAACCTTATCTTCTTCTGAAAACAATAGGAGGAAAAATATATTTTTACACAAAGTGTAGTTTTTGGAATGTAAAGTATTCTTTGAATTCTTACATGGTATCATCATGATCGATTCATCCTCCTTCTGCTCGTATCTCCTCTCTTCCCTGTGGTTCCTCACTGAGTTTCACAGAAGCTCTGTTTTTTGTTCTTCGTCCCCATCCTTCTGTAACCATGGCGACTGATAATCAAGAACCACATGCATCAATCACATCCTTCTCCACTGGTAACAATGGCTTTGGACCTAGACTCTCCATCAAACTCCAGGAGAATAATTTCCTTCTTTGCAATCAGCAGGTTGAAGGAATCATCTTATCACATAAACTTCACATATTTGTAGCGAATCCGCAGATTCCTCCAATTTTTGATTCTGAAGAAAATCACATCGCTAACAAAGTTTCTGCTGCGTACGAATCTTGGATTGTGCAAGATCAAGCACTATTCTCATGGCTTCTTTCGACGATTTCAGAATTTGTACTTCCAAGAGTTCTTTCCTGCAAACATTCGTATCAGATTTTGGATCAAATCCACAAGCACTTCAATGCTGTGATGAAAGCTAGGGTTCATCAGCTACGTTCTGAGCTAAAAACCACCAAGAAAGGGAATCGATCAATTTCTGAATATGTTCTACGAATTAGGGCTATTGTTGATGCTATTCTTGCCATTGGGGATCCCATCTCAGACAGAGATCAGATTGATGCCATTCTACAAGGGCTTCCAGAGGAGTACAATCCATTTGTCATGATGACTTATGGCAAAGGTGAACTTTCTTCCATTTATGATGTTGAAGCTCTCTTGTATGTCCAGGAAGCACAATTTGACAAGTATCGTCAAGAGCTTGTGCTTACCACGACCACTGCAAATCTTGCATATACTGAAGATCAGGCAAGTTCTAGGTCCACCAGAGGTAGCTTTCAGCAATCAAGGGGTCATGGTTTTGGCTCTAGAGGTCGTGGTCGTACCAAGGCATGCAGTGCCTACACTCAAGGAAATCGTCCAACGTGCCAACTCTGTGGAAAGTATAGCCATGCTGTGATCGATTGTTGGCACAGGTATGATGAAAATTTTGAACCTGTGGTGCCTAAGGCTAATCAGCAGACAACACAATCAAAGAACAACAAAAGAATGAAGCCTCCAGCTCTGTACAAGCTTCTGCATTCCTAGCACATCAAGAGGATTTCAATATTCCAACAAATCTTGAATCACAGGATTGCTTCGCAGATTCAGGTGCATCCCATCATATTACCTCTAAAAACTATCACATTAAACATACAAAACCATATTGTGGCAATAATGAAGTCATTATAGGAAATGGTAAAGGTCTTAAAATTGAATCTGTAGGATTAGCTCATATTAAGCCTAAGTCTGCATCCAATTATCTGCTGAGTCTGAATGATATGCTTCATGTTCCTAGCATAACTCGAAATTTGTTATCTGTCTCTAAATTTTCTAAAGATAACAATGTCTTCTTTGAGTTCCATTCTAACAGATGTTTTGTCAAATCTCAAGCATCTAAGGAAGTTCTCTTAGAAGGCTCCCTTGATGTTGGAGGATTATACTACTTTCCCAATCTCACCTTTGAGGCTTCTGCGCCACATGCAGCAAATTCAGCTTGTATTTCTTCTGATAAGTTTTCAAAGTCTTTAGATTCAATGTCCAATAAATTTTCTCTATGGCATCATAGGCTAGGCTATGCTAATTCTGTAGCTGTTAAAGTTGTTCTCAAAATTTGTAATATCTCTTTGAGCAATAAAGATAATGTTAAATTTTGTAATTCATGTTGTGTAGGTAAGTCTCATAAAATATTTTCTCATTTAACTTATACTGTGTATTCTGCCCCTTTTGAATTAATTCACACTGATTTGTGGGGGCCCTCACCAAATCCTTCTATCCAAGGTTTTTCATATTATATAGTATTTGTAGATGTGTATACTAAGTATACTTGGGTGTATTTTCTCAAACATAAGTCAGATGCCCTCAAAATTTTTAAATAGTTTCTTGCCTTTGTCAAAACACAATTTCATACCACTATTAAACCCATTCAGTCTGACTTTGGTGGTGAGTACAGGCCCTTTACTAAACTCTTTAATGATCTTGGTATTGTTCATAGACTGACATGTCCACATACCTCTCATCAAAATGGTACAGTTGAAAGGAAACATAGGAACATAGTAGAAATGGGGTTGACTTTGCTTTCTCATGCTAATCTTCCCATAGAATATTGGGATCATGCCTTTACAGCAGCTGTCTATCTGATTAATAGACTCCCCACTTATATACTTCCTAAATTCACTTCCCCTTTTCAGGCTCTGTTTAACAAAATTCCTGACTATTCAACTCTTAGAGTTTTTGGTTGTTCTTGCTTTCCTCATTTGAGACCCTATAATAAAAATAAACTTCAATTAAGAAGCTCTGAGTGTGTGTATCTTGGAATTTCTCCACAACATAATGGATATAAGTGTCTTAGCAAAGAAGGTAGGATTTATGTTTCCAAGGATGTCATTTTCAATGAAAAAGTCTTCCCTTTTCTAACATTAAATGATCAACTTCAATATGTCAAAACAGGACCCACTAAGTCTATCCCTTTACTTATAAAAGCAGTACTTTTCCTACTCCCTGTGATAACTCTATATCCAATGGTAGCAGTACTACTCAACTTGTCCTGTCTTTGAATAACACATCTCAACACTCTCTTCAAAATCAGTCTATGACCATTGAACATAACCATGCTCCTTCTAATAATCAAATTTCCTCCTCCTCTCAGTATGAACTTTTAGATATAAACAATGAGTCCTCTCAGAGTATTTCTTTTCACTCTCAACCTATACAAAATACACCAAATAGTTACACTCATAAGACTGAATTGACTCATCAAAACTCTTTACATCAGGAGTCTGGTCCATCCCTGGCTGCTGTTATTCTTGATAATCATCCTTCTCCTGCTTTAGTTACTAACAATCATTCTATGGTCACTAGAAGCAAAACAGGTAAACTTAAACCCAAAGTCTTCCTTGCTCACTGTGAACCAGTCACTTATAAACAAGCTTTAGCTGAACCAGAATGGTTTGAGGCTATGAAACAGGAATTTGATGCACTCCTAGCCAAAAACACTTGGACACTTACTCCTTTACCTTCACACCGAAAACCCATAGACTGTAAGTGGGTGTTTAAACTGAAGGAAAACTCTAATGGCACCATCAACAAACACAAAGCCATATTGGTTGCCAAAGGCTTCAATCAGCAATATGGCTTTGACTTTCATGAAACCTTCAATCCAGTTGTTAAACCAGCTACTATCAAAGTTATTCTAACCCTAGAATCAACCCATAAGTGGGAAGTACAACAAATAGACATAAACAATGCCTTCTTAAATGGTGCTCTTCAGGAAGAAATATATATGCAACAACTACCTGGATTTGAGAATGAGAACAAAACTCTGGTATGCAAGTTGAATAGAGCCTTATATGGGCTCAAGCAGGCACCCAGATCCTGGTATGAGAAATTACACCAGACACTGTTCCATTTTAGTTTTGTGGCAAGCAAATGTGATCACTCATTGTTCCTTTACAATCATCAAGGAATTAGTATGTATGCCTTGGTTTATGTGGATGACATCTTAGTTACAGGTTCATCCTCTCACTTGGTTCACAAGCTGATAAATCAACTGCATCATCAGTTTGCTCTGAAGAAGCTGGTAAGCCTGAATATTTCTTAGGTTTGGAAGTGCATTATCAAAGCAATGGCTCACTGGTTCTCACTCAAACAAAATATATCAGGGATCTCCTTTCTAGAGTCAATATGGACATAACTAATGGAGTGGGAGCACCAATGCTTAGTCATTGCAAACCTAGTAAGTATGGTACTGATTTAATGGAGGAACCATTACTATACAGATCCACTGTAGGAGCTTTGCAGTATGTTACTTTAACAAGACCTGACATAGAATACTGTGTCAACAAAGCCTGCCAATTCATGGCTTCTCCCTTACACAGTCACTGGAGTATGGTAAAGAGAATACTCAGGTACTGTTGGCTGAAGATTTTGATAATGTTATTAGAAGCCAAATGAATTAAACGTTTTGATCGAAATGAGGTAAAGCGTCATGTTTCGAAGTAGCAGAAGCAGTGTTTCGAATAAGTATGTCAAAGCTTGGAGCTTCGAGTGGCAATTATGGGAACATATCTAAAGAAGTCTCGAAATAACAACAAGGCTGTGTCTGGGAAGAGCGTTCGAAACGGAGAAGTACCAAAGCATTTGAAATTCAAATGGAAGCGGGACTTTCGAAGTTTGAAAGTTTTGTGCTGGAGCATTTGGGGACACGTGGAAAGACGAAGGAAGCATTGTCCTGCATGTTCTAAACGTGGCATAATCCTATAGCAAGACCGTTATGGTCGAATTAGTATAAATAGAAGTCTTAGTATTAGGATTTTGGGTGTGATATCTATTATACAAAATACTCAGTAACATTCAAACTACCACATGGCAAGGGAAACGAATGCAAGA